TCTCATCCCTTCGGGAGCAAGGGAGAATGAAGAGAACAGGATACAAGGAAAAGATTAATCTGAAGGACTAATTGTCCACAGCTACCAAGGCACCTCCACCCGACTGAGTCCAGTACAGCTAGATGGTGCCCGGCTACCACCACTGACTGCTCTGACCAGGATCACAACAGAGGGTTCTGGACAGAGCTGGGGAAGGATGTAGAGCATAATTCTAACTCACAAAAAAAAAAAAGACCAGATTTACTGGCCTAAAGGAGACTGGAGAAACCCCGAGAGTATGGCCCCCAGACACCCTTTTAGCTCAGTGTTGAAGTTACCTCCGAGGTTCACCGTTCAGCCTGGGAGTGGAGAGCCCCGTAAAACCAAATGAGACTAACGAGGTACAGGAGTCCAGTGACAAGGGCCAGAAAGCAGAAGGGGACAAGGAAGCTGGTGATAGGGAACCCAAGGTTGAGTAAGGATATTGTTGATGTGTTGTAAGATTGTTAACCATTGTCATAGGGCAACATTTGTAGTAACTGTTAAATGAGAAACTATTTTGTTCTGTAAGCCTTCATCTTAAGTGAGAATAACAGCACAATTGGAAGAGCGTAGTCAATGTCACTGAACTGTGCACGTAGAAATTTTTGAAATGGTGTATCTTTGGCTATGTGTATTTTCACCAAAAAAAAAAAGGTTGAGAAGTTAGAGAGTTGATATGTTGTGGGGTTGTTAACCAATGTCATAAAACAACATGTGTACTTCTGTTTCATGAGAAACTATTTGTTCTGTAAGCCTTCACCTGAAGTACAATAAAAAAAAAAAAAGGACATTCTGCTAGTTATTACCAGTGCTGAGATTACTTAAAGGAGCTACCTTATTATTCTCTAAGAGGATCCCGAACCACCTTGCTTATCTACTCTGTATCATATTCAGTGTAACAAGCCATTATATAGACCTCACCTGGCGCCAGGTATGCTTCTAAGCTGACTGCACATATTAACTCATTATTCTACAAAACAACTTCACTATTGAATATCAAACAAACCAGACTCATTGCTGTCGAGTTGATTGCGACTCCTAGCGACCCTACAGGACAGTATAGAAATGCCCCATACGGTTTCCAAGGAGCGCCTGGTGGATTCGCACTGCCAACCTTTTGGTTAGCAGCCATAGCTCTTAACCCCGACGCCACCAGGGTTTCCTCCTATTAGACAAGTGCTGCTATTTATCTCCGGACAGCATTTTGTTCTCTTATACATAAAGCCGCTATGAGTTAGAACCCACTCGATGGTAACTAACAGCAACCAACCAACCAACCCATTGCCGTTGAGTTGATTCCAATTGTTGGCGACCCTGTATATGTTACAGCGTAGAACTGCTCCATAGGGGTCTTCTTGGCTGTAATCTTTACAAAAGCAGATCGTCAGGCCTTTCTTCCGTGATGCCGCTGGGGGTTTGAAAGTAACAACAACTACTACCTCCATTTTCCACGTGAGGATACTGAAACACAGAGAGAGGAATAAGGGCACACAGCTGGCAAGCGGCAGAGCCAGGATTCGGATCGAGGCACTCTGTGTCCTGAGACTGTGTGCCTACCCACTAACCCCACTTGTCTCCTCTGCCAGCCCTCGGTACTTATCTGCCCACCACTTGCCAGGAGCTTTCCTCTTCCTCATCAGAGAAAAGATCCTCCTGCCTCTCTAAAATCATCTCCCAAACCAACCAAGCTAATTGTCTTCCAATTGGGATGGAGGCACTTCTAGCGACACTTCTCCATTTTTGATAAGCACTCACTGACATTGATTCATTCCCTTCTTGCGTGGTCCCTGCTGTTCACTCTCTGATGGCACACATCCATCTCCTAAAATGCACAAAATGACCTTTGTAATGAAATATTTACAAATGAAAAGTTGAATAGGAAAATACCATGATCAGAACGGGGTTTCAGAACCATGAATCTGATACCCGTGTTTGGAGCGAGATGGGGAGGTGTGCGGGTGAAAAACTGGGTGTAGAAAGCTCTGTTGGAAACTTTCATTTCTGTAGTCATGAGATACAGCAGGAGTTATTGGGGATAGAAAGGAAGGGGTAGATTCAAAAGGCATTGCAGACGGGGGAGACGGTGTTTACGAGCAGCATATATAAAACAGACTTGGGCTTGCAAGCGGTTTCCAAACTCCATGAGCCTACTGAAGACTGACAGAAGAAAATATAAAGAGATTTGGAAAAAGCAGAAAAATTCCTGGGTGTCCCAGTTGTCTGACCCCAGCCTTTCATTGTCTTTGAGATACTTTACAACTCAGTGAATTACAGATCACTGACGGTGCAAAACAACCCTTGTCCACACACACGCAAAGGATTCATTTCTAGTGGAGGTTCTATAGGCTTCCCTCTCAAAACCCACCACATGGATAAAAAAGTAAAAAAAGAAAAGGAGGCATTTCCAAAAGAACGATGGATTGGGCTAGCGGAGCAACGGCCTCTAGGGATCCAGTGGAGAAGGGAGTTAAAATGAGACCACTATTTTGGGACTGGATGATTATCATGAGCGTGTAGGTATGTCAGGAAGCTAACCTGATTCAGGAGGACAAAAAGTTCATTGACTCTTTGTCATCATCCTGGAGGAAATGTTCAGCAGTTGGAGGACACCATAATGGAGCATTAAATGAGCCCCATCAAGGGTGTCAGGGTAACCAGTTAACCACTTCCGTGGAGTCGATTCCCACTCAGGGAGGCCCCGTGTGTTCCAGAGTAGAAATGTGATCAATAGGGTTTTCAATGGCTGTGATCTTTCGGGAGTAGATTGCCAGGCCTTTCTTCCAAGGTGCCTCTGGGTAGATTTGAACCACCAACCTTCTAGTTAGTAGCCAGGCATTTAAATGTTTGTGCGACCTAGGGACTTCTGACTCATGGCTACCCCGTGTGTTTCAGAGTATATGCTAAATCTCCAGTGAGAATGACAATGAAATGGAGCTGAGCGTAAGGGCAAGTTTACACTGGCGTTGAGATGGCCAGGTATCTCCTCCAACGCTGGAATTTGGCATGGGATGTGAATGTAGAGGATGACCTACTGTACAGCATAACCCCAAACAGTAGCCAAATGACTTTGTTACATGCAAAAATCCTTGGAAAGTGGCCACGTCATTAGATCTAGGCAAACTGGCTGTGTGCTTAATTTCCAGGCTTGGTCTTGCTTCATATTAATTTTTTTAAAAAACAATCTTGAACCTCTCACTCCCGTTTGTCCAGTGGCCTCGATAATGCCAGTACAGAGTCTACAGATTGAACGATGAGAGCAGAAAGCTTCTTGGAATTTAGCTGTTATGATCAGGTACCCCAGGTAGAACTGCAGAAAAGAAAGCTAAACGATTTACAGACTTAGCACAGCGCTAGGGCAGCTCACTGGGCAGGGCCTGGAATGGTGTGGATGGGCTACGGGCATGTTGAGAATTCATCATGGGTCAAAGAGGCTAGGAGACTGGCAGTCCGTGTCATGAAACAGTATTTCAAAACACAGTTGACTGATGATTCCTATCAGGAACTTACCCTGAACCTCCAAGCGGCACCCTCTTTCCCTAATTCACGTGAGCTCAAGGGTCGTCGCCATGCGCATCAGTGACCATTAAGATGACCTGCTGCAAACCTCTTCGTTTAAACAAAGTCCGACTTTGACAGAACCCCATTTCCAGCAAAGTCTACCTTCCTTCGTAAGGGAATAAATAATCAGCCGCGGGTTAAGCGTTTGCCCCAGCGGCTGAGCCAAGTGCTTTGAAGCGCGAGAATTTCGGAGGCCGTGGGTAGGGGAAATCAATCCAGTCCGGGTTTTGTCTGAGCGGGGTGGGGGGGACCGGAGGGCTGTGCCCAACGGCTCGCGAAGAGCGGGGCGGTGGTGAAACATACACAAAACAAACAGCTCGAGCCGAGGGAGGGCAGCGTAGGCCGGAGCGCGCGGGCGCAGCTGGCCAGCAGAGGCGCGCGCGGGCCCGGCCGCC